GAAGATACCAAATTATTTCATCCAGCTGAGGTTTTCTGAACCACTCAATAAAATGCACAATTCAGCTATTTTAACTTTTAACCAGTGCCCACAAATGTGTTACAAAACAGCCAGTCTAGTTAACTGGACCAATGAGCTGATGTTGAAATTTACATTCTTTCTTTTTAATTCATGAGGAAATACTTTATAAGTAACTCAGCCTCCAGAAACTCGTTTCACCCAATGTTCCACACTAGAACCCAACACTGTGACTGAAGCAACGAAATGAACATTTGTAGAAAAGAAGGAAAAACCTGACATATAGAAATTACTTTCATGGTTGCAAAAATAGAAGTTTTAAACTCTGACAAACTTGAAGTAACATTTTGATTTGATAAATCACAACTACTATAAAAATACAGACAGAAATAAAACAAATGAAAGATTTAATGTCTAAAGTCAGCTAGGTGGGCCAAGAAGATTAAAAGGAGAAAATGAATTTGAAAAAGTTCTTTTTTAAAAAATGACACAAACGTGATCAAATCACAAAAAGAATGATAGAACCTATATGTGATTCCTCTTAAAGAATAAATGCAAGTTAAGTTTTACAGCAGCATTTGATCTAACCTATCCTATACCTTTAGATCAGTGGTCCTCAACCTTCTTAATTTTATGGTTGGGGGTCACCACACCATGAGGAACTGTATTAAAGGGTTGTGGCATTAAGAAGGTTGAGAACCACTGCTTTAGATTATTCAGCTCAAAGAATTGCCTCGACTGTTCCTTCTTAAACTTGAGGCCAATCCTATGGAAAATGTCATGCCAACTCAGATGCAGAACATGGCTAAAAACGGCTCACTTATTCCATCTCATCACAGCAATTGTATTATGGTTGTTGAAACAAGCCTTGTCGGCCTTACATAAGTGAAGTTTTTTGTCATTACAAATTGATAAAGTCAATGCTCTTAATAGTTTTCTTAATCTTTCTTAAGAGAAATGTAACTATTTTGAATCAGTTGGGTCACCTAATAGTTATTGATTAAAGTTATTAACAACTACTACTACAACTATTTTGCTCCCAAGCTGCATCATCTAAATACCAAAATACAAGTCAGCCTTACATTGCATGTGCTACAACTTTAAAAACAGTCTCACATTTCCATATGCTATCAAGGAAGGTCTCTTTCCCACTCTCTACTTGAAATTAGAATTTTTCTCTCTTCACAATATGCAGTCATGCTCCAAAAGCTATAAAAATATAAGGAGGTATTGAGGGTATTTCAAGGCATAAGAGCACAAAAAACTTTAGGTACTTGGTATTTCAAATGATTACCATTAGAATAAAATTTAATTTTCTTGAAGAGCACTATGGAACCCTTAGAGCTGAAAATTCCATTCTTTTACCCAAAACAGCCTAAAAAATGTACCTGGGATTCATTTGTATACCACATAAGAATAGAATTTTTGCAAATTCTTCTTATTGTTAAGTCAAAGTGTTTGATTTGCCAATGAACTCTAAAATGTCTGCATGATAATGCTATTTAACAAACATCAATTGATTTTGCACATATTATGCCCCAAAACCTATTGAAATCATTTCAAAACTATTTTCCTACTAAAATACCATGGAGACATTCATTAAAATTATGCCACTTTAATATAAAGACTCAACATTTTTCTGTTTAGACCAGGTTGCCAAAGCAGTTCAACATATTACTCAACAGTTTTCAAGAACAGAGTTGCAAAGGGGGGGGGGATTTTTAAACGGGATGAACATACAACATTAATGTTTGGCATAAATCAAACACAACTGCTGTGCTTTAACGCAAATTTCTCAAATCAGAATTGAGAACAACAGAAAGCAAAAGTGCCTAAAAGTAATTTGAAATAAGTAGGTATCTAAAGTAATATACCCTGTGAGGAGGAGGATCAAACAACTTTAGAATGGAGTTGAAAGCTCATTTGACATATTAAGAAACTAACCAGAAAAGTTATATAATTTGTTTCCTATTGTGCCATTAGTGGTAGATCTGATAAGAATCCAAGTCTCCTAACTCTAAATCCATTGCTCTATTCACCACCAAATACAACCAGGGGGCCCAAAGTTCTAAATGTTCTTTTATAGCTGCAAGGTCTTTTTTGTCTTTACACTGAACTATGCTGTGTGTGATATCCATTGATGGCTAAAATATCTCATTTTTAGAAGTTGTTTTTTCAAATATCAAATATGAAAATAAACTCTAAGATCTGTAACAAAAGCATTCAACTTTTGAAAGATGGCTACCCAACATACCATAAAGATTAGGCCAAATCTATTCAATTGTCAACAAAATCTCTAGTTGCAACATTTCCATACAAATGCCATGTATTAGCATTGCACTTATACACAATCACTACTATACCTCAATCTTATTGTAAGGACAATCACATTTACAGAAACTGTGGGATCCTTAATATGTATATGGGAGTTGGGGGAAAGGGAAAAAGTGTTTCGGAAAGAACACTCATTACCTGACCTTTCCATATCAAATGTCACCCAAAAACTCTTTAAGCATTCCTGAATCAATGGCATATAAATTCCTGAATCAAAAAATAATTTGGGAGAAAGGCAAACCGAGTCCTCCTTTTCACAAGGAAAAGGCCCATACCTGCCAACTAGGATTACAAACATTGTAATTAAAAACTATACCTGCTAAAAACAATCACATTTCTTTTTTTTTCTTTTTTTTTTTTTTTTTTGAGACAGAGCCTCAAGCTATCCCCCTGGGTAGAATGCTGTGGCAT